ATCCCAAGTAGGTAGGAGGCCATTGCTTTTAGGTTGGAGGCCATCGCTTTTAGGTTGGATGCCATCCCTATGTAGGTTGGAGGCCATCGCTAGTAGGTTGGAGGCCATCGCTTTTTGGGTTGCAGGCAATCAATTTTTGGTTGGAGGCCATCGCTTTGAGGTTGGAGGCCATGGCTTCAAGGTTGGAATCCGTCTTTGGCTTTTCCTGAGGAGAACTGGAGGATGTGCAAGAACTTCCCTTCAGCCTATAGCAAAATATAGCCAATATCATTGGAATCTCTCTATTCTATAGATTCTATACTACAAAGGGCCTGGTCAGGAGAGGGGCTTTCCTTTCCGTCAGCCACAACGTCGAAGAAGGAAACATAGATCATTCTACGGGCGCGAACGGGTGTCTCCCTCTTAGAATGCACACAGTCCGTTTTGTACATCAGAGCTGTTGGTCGTCTGCGAGACTTGGAGCTCGGTAGCGGCCGTCGCGGCCAATGGCTGTTGCGAACCGGAAGATGCGTTCGTAGCGATGAGTAGCGTCCGATCACTCCGTTCGTAGCGATGCCCTTTGGTTCCGTTCGTAGCTTCTTGCTCCGTTCGTAGCGTCCTCTCCACCGAAGCCATCGCCACGAAGACTTTCGGCACCCTTTTTGTTGTGACGATTCAGTACCTTAAATATATCAAAGAAGCTACTAGGAACACGTGCATCGCTTCTAGTAACAAGTGCCTTACTAGTAGTAATAAGAAGCTATTAGAAAGTGCATCTTCGGCACCGAGGTGTTCGGCACCTCAGAGGTGTTTTCCAGAGTCGAACAAATAGAGTTTTTCAGAGTCGCTGTCGTCGATGGGATCATTGACTCATTGGCTCGAGCTGAACAAAACACCAAACTGCTATCGGGTTCTCAAATCCAAAGCAACAATTGACCAAAAAGTGACCAACCTTGAACTGGGCTTTCATCCAAACTGTCTTGGCCCATGTGACATCATTTAGGGTGTTGGGTGTGTAATACGCAGACCTCCCAATGTCATCAAATCTCTATTTTCCTTCCAGGGCGGTCTCTGGAGGATGTGACTTTCATCCAAATCGAAGTCTAATGCCATCGGTATTAGGTCCGAGGCTATCACTCTTAGGTTGGAGGCCATGTCCTCAATGACTTCCTCAGAGTCTAAGACCCCAAGCCGAAGGGGCTCCGGCTCCGGTCTGGCAGCATGGCATCGGTCTGACCGGTCTCGGTCTGACCTCCTTGCGGTCTAAGCGATTTCAGGAGGCATGCGGTTGCTTTATTTTACACGACTTGATGTAAGCGTATCAATCTATGGTCCTTGTTCTTAAACCCTTGGCTTTGTTCACTGAATCTGTGCCTATCGCTCCGGATGATTGAAACATTTCCAAGAAGTCCTTGCTCTCTCTGCTTAACTCTGACACTTGCCCAAGGTAGTCCGGTCTCCCAGCGCCCCATCCAGAAGAACATGGTCGTGCGCAGCGACCCATATAATGCTTGATGAATGTCTTCTCTCTCAACATGGTCATGGACTCGCCGCTCGGGTCTGATGAAACGACGCTCACGAGTTATCATGAGTTCGACTTATCACCTTGGGCCAAATACCATCAAATACCCACATAGGTTGTGCCCTGTTGTGCCCATCATCACCAAAACAAAAGCATCAACATGCATCAACATGAAAACACACGTTAGCAACAATCATTTTTCGAGACCAATATTTAGTATTGTTTGAGATCCCATCCAAAACCGACAAGTCAACCACCCAGCTGCTCAAGGATTGTCCTCTTCCACACCACCCCTGTTGTTGTCAGCCTGTAAAGCGGTACACAGGATTGTACTCTGGAAGAAATATCATCTGAGTTCTTCTGGTTGTCACCGTGTCCCATGTCGCAGGATTCTAGGGTCAAATGTGTCTCTTCTCATGCCACGCGCCGTGTCTTTCTTTGGCTTTGGGTCCTGTCTTTCGGTCTCAGCCCGGTGAAACGAGGACACGTCACGACGCACCTCTCTGAGATCCTTTGCCGAGATCGACTGCTGGTGGCACAACTTGCCATTGCTGTCTGGTGAGCTGGATCGACTGCGCAATGAAGCAGAACTCAACAGCTAGAAGATGCCGAAAGCAAAAGCCATGCTGGGCAGATTGTGCGATCTTGGCACCATCTTGTGCTCAGAAAATCCACTATGAGAATGTGTCGTATCTTGGTACTGGGGACGGCTGCCATCGCTAGTAGGTTGGAGGCCATTGCCGTTTCAAACAAAGAAAAAGAAAGGAAGGGCAGGGCTCCACTCTCGTGATTTTCCGGTTTGGGAGGGAGATGTTGTATTCTGTGCTTGAGTAGAATTCAACAAGAAAGCCCTTTGGCCTTAAACTGCGGTTCACGCCAGTGCCGGTGCCAGACCAGCTTTCAGCGGAAAGAACATATCATATATTACACAACGGTTCCTTAAACAAATTCAACAAGAAAGCCCTTTGGCCTTAAACTGCGGTTCACGCCAGTGCCGGTGCCAGACCAGCTTTCAGCGGAAAGAACATATCATATATTACACAACGGTTCCTTAAACAAATCCTGTACTCTTTGGGCTACCTCCTCTGAAATCACTTGGATGGCAGATCCACATGGATGTCAAATCCACATGCCAATATATGCCAATGGAAAAGGAGAAAGACTGGTGTCTTTGATGCGTCCCAGGTTGTGCAGCTGAAATATCCCTATCCAAATGTGGGCTCTAAGGATCAAAGCTTCTTTGGAGGAGCGTCCATGACGGCGGAAGATTCAGGTCGGGACACGTGACCTTGTTACTGATTTTCTATAGTCTTCTGATGCCTCCTTGGTTCTCCTTGCAAAACACAGCTTCTTCAACCCAAAGGCCAATCAAGACCAAAAGGCTCTTTGGAAAAACAAGACTCTGATCACTGAATATCACTGATCACTCTACAAACTTCAGCCTGTCTGTGCCAAACACAACAAACACACGGACGTTCTACAAACATAAAATACCATTCAAAACAGATATTAGATCTTGTATTTGATCAGTTATGATAGTTATGTTGTGTCTTTATTTTTTACCACATGGTCACAAATCCATCGATTTGAATGTCCCGACCGTCACCACCGCACAGGTCCGGGTCGTTCGCCCAGGTCCCGGACGGGTTCCCGGTCGGGTCACGTTTCGCCCGACCGGAGGAAAAACCCGCCGGTGGAATGGGTGCAGGTTGCCAAAGTGACGACAGGCGGTCCAAAATCCGAGAGCTTGTTGGATCCTGGGATCCAAATGCATGTTCTGTTCCGTGGGGTTTCTTCTTTCCTTTCTTGTTCTTTAGAGTGTCTGCCATTCTTTTGCTTTGGACCTTATTTTTGGGTTCTTGTGGCTTTGAACCTGTAGGCCTTTGTTTATATCCTTTTGTCCATTTTTACTGCTACTGTTTCAGACTATAGATTCTGTGAGCACGGGAGAAATAGATGCCCTGATGCCATAGCTAAATCTTGTGTCGGATCGGTTGAACAACATTGAGTGCTGAACAACAACTTCAAAGTAGGTTGGAGGCCATCGCTCTTCAACCAAATCAACAGTGTTCTTAAGTACAGAGTAGGAATGTCCACATGTCCGCATGCCACCTCCTTTCATATGGGCAGCAAAAGGAAGCGTTCATTTTGGTAGATGGGAGTGGTAGCTTGAGTGCATGCTCATCCACGATTCCGTTGGATAGCACGGACTCTTCGCCACCTGTGCAACCTCGGCCACGGCCTTGCAGTGACGCTTGGCGTCACGAATTCCCATGGGCTGAGATCTGAATTATCTCGTCCCCCAGCTGGAGAACCTATGAGGGGAAGGCTCAAAGTCTCACAATTTCTTGGATGTTCCAATGCCGAACATCCCTCAAAATGATTGCTCCTTTGCTTTTTCCTACAGGTTGACTTGTGGGTGATCACCAGGCATCTCCCCTTAATGCTTCAGGTCATCACTCCTGGTTCAGAAGAGATCTCTATGTATCACTTTGACTAACAGATCCTCCTCATCGCTAGAAGGTTGGAGGCCGTCGCTTCTAGGTTGGAGGCCATCGCTTCTTGGTTGGAGGCCATCACTTCTAGGTTGGAGGCCATCACTTCTAGGTTGGAGGCCATCACTCCCAGGTTGGAGGCCATCACTTCTAGGTTGGAGGCCATCGCTAGTAGGTTGGAGGCCATCACTTCTAGGTTGGAGGCCACCACTTCTAGGTTGGAGGCCATCGCTAGTAGGTTGGAGGCCATCGCTAGTAGGTTGGAGGCAATCACTTCTAGGTTGGAGGCCATCACTTCTAGGTTGGAGGTCATCGCTAGTAGGTTGGAGGCCATCGCTAGTAGGTTGGAGGCCATCACTTCTAGGTTGGACGCCATCACTTCTAGGTTGGAGGCCATCGCTAGTAGGTTGGAGGCCATCACTTCTGGGTTGGAGGCCATTGCTAGCAGGTTGGAGGCCATCACTTCTAGGTTGGAGGCCACCGCTAGTAGGTTGGAGGCCATTAGTCGGTTGGAGGCCATCACTTCTAGGTTGGAGGCCATCACTTCTAGGTTGGAGGCCATCGCTAGTAGGT